CCTCCTGCATGTAAACAATTACAGTGCATTCACATAATTAAAATTGGGTGGCTGGGGATTAATAACACTGTGGAGAAAATGAAGAACGAATTTGTGATTTTTTATAGGGTAAACTTAAGGGCTGTAATTCATTTTCGTAGAATAATGAATGGGGTATTTGGCAAATGAAAAGAAACCATGCGTGAAAGCCAGGTGCGAGCCTCTTTTACTCAGAGTGATTGAATATACATAGTGTGTTAACATTTTGTTTGAAGATGCAGGTGGAAGGCAAAGTGGGTAGTGTACCATGGAACATACTGTAGGTTTAACAACTAAACTCAGTATTTGATGTAAGCATGTTTAGTCCATACCACTGTGCGCACATTTCCCAGATACAGGAGTGAGAATGGTGCAGCGAGTTGTATTTATATTTTAAGAATGCCGATGTTTTTCTCAGTGTGAAATATTTCCATCCATTTGGCAACAGTGTCTCAGTGTCTTTGGCTACAGTTAGTACCTCACCAACCAAGTCCAAGTTTTCCAATCAAGGCCCAACAAGCAGACTGGAGTTTGTATTTTAAAGGCTAAAATGGCAACAGAAGAATGCACTGTAACATGTCCAGAAAAACAATGTTATAAAATCCTATTGTAAAAGTTTTTAATTCCATATCCCCAAAAAGTTCCCCAATTTGTGTTGAGCTACTATGACTATTTGAAATCCCTCTAACCTAAATTACTCTCTCATCAATTAAAGCTGGAGTCACAATTTAACAAGATGCTGTGAGGCCTAAACCACAGAGAAGAGAGAAAATCCCCCAGCATTTCCTTGCTGAATTGAAGGAGACTGCGGTACGGGTGGAAAATGTGTGGAGTCCTCTATATGAACCTTCTTCATTTGTGGCTCCTCGAAGGTAACCACTTTTACGCTCTAATCCTACTTTGTAGGATCTGCTGTATAGAAATCAGCCGCCTATCCTTCAGCGCAGCCTTCGGAGTGGTTCATCCCTCCCTTGGAGTGTTTCTGATTAGTCTGCCATGTGCCCATTATTCCCAAATAAGAGTCACCCCACAAAATATACATCCCTCATCACGCCTAATCTCAAACAGTCACAGTGGCCTGTAACTTAATCCACATTGGGCTATTTTCACTCATGCAAACCAATCCACAATGGTAAGAATTGATGGCACGCAATAAATTGTGGGCTTCAAATCCTTGGAAGCTACATGCCAGCCAAAGCTAAACAAATTACTGTCCCTATGAGAAGGGCAGATTTGGACTTTTATGGACATGTAATTGATTGTCTTTGCCTTTTAGTTGTTTTGAGCAAATACAATCAAGAATAATCTGTATTTTACACAAACTTAGAGATACATACACCATATTAACTGTACTTTTAAACAGTGGCATCGAGGCTTTGGCTTAACTTTCACTTTTTGCCATGATATCTCCAGCTTAGTCCAGCACCTGTTTGCTTGTTTTTCTGTTCTGCTTTTTCCTTCATCACTGTCCACAAACCCCAGAGACCAAAACCAACAAGGAAATGATGCTACAAGTGTTGATTGAGTCGTCAATATGTCTTAATCCTCTGAGCCAGATAGACCCACATTGACATATTCCTTCATTCCAATGAACACTGTAGTTTGTTTTGTATCCATCCCACTTGTCTAGTGAAAAGCAAATGGGCCACAGGGATAGGGACATCAGACAGTATTGTACCTGGATTAGATGGACTAACATATGGTTGGTTTGGATCTTTTCACGGCATTTGTTGACAATAAAAACATTTTAGAACACCAGCCTTTTCCTTAAACACACAGGACAAAATATAAAACAATATCATTCGATTTAAGACACAAGTTTTGTTTTTCAAAATCTGATGAACAATGCAGTTCTGTGGTTAGTAATAAGCTAAGATACAGCATTTCTCGTTTCTCTGATACTATAAAAACAGTCTTTTTGATATTTATTCCTGTATATTAGCTGCTGAATGCTAGAATTACCGCTTTATTCTGAATTTTCAATTATTATACTAGTAGAAAGTTGAATCTTTAAATGAATTTGTAATGGATATGTAAAAGACATTCAGACAGCTGCACTGAAAATGTCGGGAACTACGACGCCACTATACTCTTTTGAATCAAATTAAATTGTTAATTGCTTCACACCTGAAATATTGATGACAGGGTCACAAAACATGACCTAATGCTGGTGGTGTCTACAGATTCTTATGGCAGCCAAAAGGCTGAGCTCTTACAGAGCAATATGTGCCCATACAGACCAGAGGCGATGTTGTAAGGCTTGTTTGCTTAGATCACAGAATTGGATGAGGTAATGGTTTATTAAATGTGCAGTAGATCATTTTCATGAACACCAACATACAAATTACTTTTCCTGCTCTTTTTTCTTCACCTCAGTTGGATTTGTCATATCATAGCCATGTTTAGTGACAACTGTAGATTATGCTGAATGTCCTGCTCATTTAATAAAACTTTACGGCTGGGCTGGTCCTGTGAATACCGATACTAACATTTTTCCCAGATGGCAGAATGGGAAATCAGCTATCTTTAATGCCTGCTGCTGGCCTGGCACAGCGAAAAAGTGGCTATCACTATGACTGGTAATACAGAGTAATAAAAGTTGGCACAGATGAAGTGAGCCAACCACATTTAAATTTTAGTGAGGTCCACAAAAACTAATGCCAGACATATAAAACAGAGGGGGAATGTGACAGAAATACTGACAGGAATTAGAGAAGGCAAGATGTATGGGGAGAGCCAAAGGGTTTGTTAATGGTGTGTGTGCATGCAAACTTGCATGGATACTAGCATGCTAATGCAAGCAAACCACTGATGTTTCCACAAACAAAGCTCAATGTTAATCGATTTGATTGAATATTTTTGGTTTAATCATTGAATGCAACAGCGTACTGGTCATTTCCATGTTGTTAAAAAAAACATCTGCAGTGTATATTTCAGAGTTTTGATTGAGTTCCTGTTTTGGTTCCACCAGAGCAGATTTTTTTTTCCTTCCATAAAGGATAGTGTACCATGAAAGAGAAGAGCTCTGCTGCTAATTCTGAACCCAGAGAGGAAAGAGGGGGCTTTCTGAGTGAGCTGACATCTTTCGTAATTAAAGGCCACAGCACACGCAGGCCTCAGACTGTACATGTGGTCTCTGTGTGGAAGTGGTAAGAGGGAAAAGCAGTGTGAGAGAGACCTAGGAGGAGAGGGAAGAGACAGAGTGAGAGTTTTAATAAAGTTAGTGCTTGTGAGGGAGCTAAAGTTTGAGCGCCTGAATGAAGTGAGGAATAGCTAGACAAGGGTAGACAGAGAGAGACAATTTTGTCGGCTGAAATGACACTTTTATTAGCTGGAGCTGTTGCTAGCAAATTAAGATAACGTTAGCAGGATTTAGCATCCTCACCAATCGATTGTCCACGGAGAAAACATGAGACAAGGAAACAGAATAGTGCAGTTACAATGTAGAGCTGAATTAGCTGTCCTAGTATTACATGTATAAAGACCCTCTTTGGCTCTTTATCTTACCTGTTTTTAGTATGTGAATTTTTAACATTAAAAGAGAAAAAACTCAGGATAAGGAATAACTGAGGTGTCAGCCCTGTGATGAACTGGTGACATGTCCAGGGTGTAACCAGCCTTTCGCCAGCTGGGATTGTCAGCTGGGATTGGCGCCAGCCCCCCCGCCCCGTGACCCTGCATGGATAAGCGGTTATAGATAATGGATGGATGGATGGATGGACTATGGTGTTTGAGAAACGTAATGGTACCTTGTGGAGTCTATAGCCCTTTGGAGAAATGTTTGTATCAGTAAAGAAACACCTTATTTTTCTTTTTTTTATGGTAACCCATAACCCCACAAACTAATGTTACCTAGTTATTATGATGTGCTCCTTGGCCTTGGAAGTAAGTTTTGTAGGTAGCTAGATAGCTGTGATGCCAGATAGAACGTTGTATGGTTGTTGGGGCCAGACAGGCTGGTCTGAGTATTTCAGAAACTGCTGATCTACTGGGATTTTCACACACAACCATCTCTAGGGTTTACAGAGAATGGTCCGAAAAAGAGAAAATATCTTCAAGCAGTTGTGTGGATGAAAATGCCTTGCTGATGTCAGAGGTCAGAGGAGAATGGGCAGAGATGAAAGTAACTTAAATATCGACTCTACAACCAAGATATGCAGAATACCATCTCTGAACGCACAACACGTCGAACCTTGAAGCAGAGGGGCTACAGCAGCAGAAGACCGCACCAGGTGTCGCTCCTGTTAGCTAAGAACAGGAAACTGAGGATACAATTCGCACAGGCTCACCAAAATTGGACAATAGAAGAATGAAAAAACGTTGCCTGGTCTGATGAGTCTCGCTTTCAGCTGCCACATTCAGATGGTAGGGTCAGAATTTGGTGTAAACAAAATGAAAGCATGGATCCATCCTGCCTTGTATCTACAGTTCATTGCTGCTGGTGGTGGTGTAATGATGTGAGGGATATTTTCTTGGCACATTTTGAGCATTGTTTAAACGTGACAGCCTGCCTGAGTATTGTTGCTGACCATTTCCATCCCTTTATGACCACAGTGTGCCCATCTTCTGATGGCTACTTCCAGCATGATAATGCATCATGTCACAAAGCTCAAATCATCTCAAACTAGTTTCTTGAACATGACAATGAGTTCACTGTACTCTAATCGCCTCCATAGTCACCAGATCTCAATCCAACAGAGCACCTTTGGCATGTGGTGGAACCGGAGATTCGCATCATGGATGTGAAGCTGACAAATCTGCAGCAACTGTGTGATGCTGTCATGTCAATATAGACTAAAGAATAGACCACGAAGAATTAAGGCAGTTCAGAAGGCAAAAGGGGGTCCAACCCGGTACTAGCTAGATGTACCTAATAAAGTGGCCAGTAAATGTATATAATTTGTTATTAAAATATCCTCAGTTTGCAATAGCTTTACTTTAGCACATGAAATGAAAAAGGATGACACTTCATAATCTGGATGTCATGTGAGATAAAACTTTACTTCATAACACAAAGAATCTGAGTCAGAATTAGATTTTATACACACCACTCTGTGCTTTGTGTACACATACCGTGTAAATGATTCAAAATAATCACAGATCAAAACAGTAATTTATTTTAAGTGAGTAACAGCGGATACAGTTGGAACTGTCCAAGGCTATTAAAATAGTGATGTAGCTAAATATCTACAGATGGAATGTGTGTATGTGTAGTTTCTGATGGTTGTTTAATATTTACAGATGAGGTATCATTGGTATATCAACTGCAATGTACTGAGAAATATCCTGCAACATCAAATTAAGATATATAGCATTTGGAAATAGTACATGTAATTAAAATATAAATGCAGTCAAAGTAACACTGCTAATAATTAAAAGGAAATAGTGGTTTATCATGGCGTATGACATTTTTTCCAATGTCCTGTCAATAAAAGTGTAGTCAGTTTTATTTTTTGCCTTGTTGTGTAATAAATACTTTTTCATAAAAGAAACTGTTGAAATTCAAATCAACAGAAACTATAAATATCAGCTTATTTTATAAACAAAACGTAAAGCAAGTGAAAAATGATGTTACCCTTTGGTACATAGTTTGCTTCTAACTTCATGACATTAATGGTTTAATAACTAAGCCATTAACTATGAGGGTATATTGGCAGCACTGTCTCCATGTCAGCTTCCACTCTCCAACAAAACAGTTCATGTGCTGCATGTCATGTTGATACCACTGAGGCAGAATTCAGTTTGTGGACTGTGTAATCCTCTACCCCGTCCCTGAGAACGTTAGTCCTGTGTCAGTCCCTCCAGAAAGTAAGGGTGGCTTTTATCTGGGCTTTGACAGGACTCTCCTGTTAGTCCCAGCCTAAGTCTTGTCCACTCATCTGGTAGAAAAGGTGGTTGAAGGGCCTGTAGAAGTCTCTAAGTCTCTGCAAGACCTCGGAAGGGATCTGGGGATGGGGTCTGCCCTTAGACTTTCCAAGGCAGCGAGGTCTGCTACTTCCCTCTGGCTTCTTCAAGCAGGGAAAACCTTTGGTCTGGTTGAAGTAGAAGTGTTTGTCTGAAACAACCCTTTTCAGACCCAGGAAGTCCTGAACCCGGCCCATCTCCCCAGCCGGATCAGACACCAGCCGCTCACCGCTAACAAACAGAAAATGAGACAAGGGGAAGTGCTGAAGCCAGTTCTCCAGATGTTTGGCGTAGAGGCCGATGCGCACAGCGCTCCACGTGGTGTCAATCAGACCTGTGGTGGAGTTTTTCAAAGCCAGGCTTTGGAAAGATGGAAGGCTTGGGTTCTTGGATAGTGTCTGGGTGTAGTCAGATACAGCCCGTGTCACAGGATCCCTGACCACCACAATGAGCTTGGTTTGGCAGTTCATAGTGCAGACACGGCTAGGAGCCTCCTTTGTGACAAAGTAGCTGGGGGTTTTCTCCATAGTGATCTGGCCGTCCAGTGTCCGAGGCATCAGGTTCCTAAATGAAATGAAGAAACTGGTCAGTAACAGAATTCTGATTCATTTTTCTTAGTCTTAGAGTTTCTCACTCTTAGATACCTAACTAAAGCTTGAAAGCTTGATTAGTTGTGCTTCCACATGTGTTATGTTTTTTAAAGCATTTACATTTTATTGGTCACTTGAAGCAGCTGAACAAGCGAGACTAACACTAATATACAGTATTACTACAACCATATAGAGTTGATATGGCTAACGCATTAGCGAAAGTTAGCATTCATTTGGAGTCACGTTTGTGTCCACCTGATGAATGTAAGTCCAATATTCAGTCTCCTTTTAGCTGTTTTATGTTTCCACTTACTCCTGAGGGAAACATCTGGCTCCTTAGCTGAGCTAAATGCTCCACTATGTTCACCAGCTAGTCATTAACTTTGACTGTCTGCTGTTTGGTGCTGAGCGCTGGTAGTGTACAGTTGGTTTATCAGAGACTTTTTACTGAAAAAAGCTGCCTGGAAACATCGCTAACGAGAGTGGCGAGAGTGAACCAAAACAGTAAAGTTGTGGGCCGTAAAACAAAAACAATGAGCTAAAAGACTCTAAAAGACTCTGAGCTGAAGGGAGCTGCAGAGTTGGGTGCAATCCCTTTCACATTGAACAGTGTTTGATCAATTGTTAGTATAAAAATATTGATGAATGCAGCTTTAAAATAAGTGCTAGTTGCATTCAGCTACCGTTTAAATTTTATGGAATTGCTCCATTAGGGTATGGTTTGTCAAAGTTCAATTTTAGCTCCAATCTCCAACCTGTACAACTTCTAAAAATTCAAAGCAAAGAGCCCGAGCCCGATCTGTGGAGCCCGACAATTTAATCACGTCTTGTACAAATTCTAATTTACTGACTTCAATGAGAAGAACATTAAGAGATAGGTAAACATACACATACATATACTAAACATTAAAGCACTACAAATCTGTGTGATCAAAGCTTCATACGCTGTAGTGTGTTACGTACCAGGGTCCCAGACAGCCCATCACAAAAGGACCATCCACTCACTTTGGACATGATGAGTCAAAACCACAAAACCTCAAGAACCACTTAACAGCAATTTCCTACAGATTTCCACCCCCACCCCCCCTCTCCTTCCTGCAAGAGCAAAGTGCCCCCACCTCACCACCCTCACCTCCCCTAAGCGTTCCTACCAGGATCCAAACAGACCAAATTCGGCAGGAAGTGAAACCAGGATGGAAAGCTGCTGAGCCCAGCTAGTGTGTTTAACATATGGCTACAATGAGGAGAGATGCTGTGTGGAAGACACCAGTAAAAAGGCATGTGCTGAATTATATACTACTATGGTGCAGAGATACATTTAGCATTGTATTCCAGTTTTTCAGTACTTCAGCACTATCTGGCAAACAGGCATTGTGGGTAACATGGAATTCGACAGATCCTGCTGGTTGTTCGTGTGTCCACATTTGACAATGACAGACTTGCGCGAGGCAAAACTTTGGTGGATTAGGATTTTGGAAACAAATTGTTTTGCATGACACGGATGATGAGCAAAGTTTAAATAAAATGTAGTTCATTTACTCAACACATCTTATACTGTGTTACTGTAAACAGAGAGCTTTCATGTGGCTTCCTTTGAAATAAACAAGTAATGGAGCATGTGTGCTTTATTTCTTTCAGACTGGAAATCTGAATAGAGTCCAAATGTCAATGACAAGAGGCCATGGAGAAATGTTGATTTTTGCCAGTTAGTATAGTGAGGTTGTGGTCAAACACTGATTCAATGAAAATTAAAAAGAAAACCATGAAGTAAAACCATTGTTTGTTTTGATGGAAAACCAACAGCAAAAGAAAAAAAAAGTTAATCAATTTGAACCAATCACTTAAAAAATCATGCAGAAAGATGGACTACAATTGAGTCTTGAGTGCAGTGTTCCAACATTATTTAGTTCTTTATATTCCAGCAGAGCGAACTAGAGCTAGCAAAGCCTCAGTGTGTGATCAAAAAGATGACTCTGACCCTCTAATAGTTTTAAAGTAGGCTACATCAGGCAGCGGTCGACCGTAGCTGGAAGCAACAGTCAGTTGTCAAAGTACAGGTTCACTGACTTCACGCTTGCTCTGTGGTCAAAGGCAGCACAGTAACGCCTTAACAGCAGTCATTACAAATTGGACTGTTTCTTGGCCCTGTGCAGTTACTAAGCTAAGCTAACGACTGTAGCCGACTGTAGCTTCATACTTAGCGTACAGACCCGAATCAATCCTCTCATCTAACAAAAGTAAATTTATTCCTGCTGAAGTTGATATTTTGAGGGGTATACATTTATTTTGTCATGTATACATTCATGCACAAGACATCTGGAATGAGGTGAAGTCGCAGTCTTGAATATTTCAATCAGGGTAAGCATCAAATAGCTTCATTGATGAGCTGGAACAAAGTCATACACAATATAAATATAATACTGTCAGACTGTGGAACAAAATGACAAATGCTACTTAAAGCTACTTAGATTTTATATTTTGAGATGTGCAAAGTGTGCAGCAACTACGAACTTCTGTAGTTCTGGAGTCCATAGCTATGATTGTGAAGGACGAAAAAATACCTCTCAGGAATTGTTCCTGAGTAAGTTTCGAGTTTCCCCCTTTACTTGAACTTAAGCCATTTCAATCCACCCCCATTAAAAGGTCCCCATAATAAAAGACCATTAATTGATTGTTATCCAACTACAAGAGGTGCAAATGGCCTATCGCTGCCTGTCTGTCCCCTGTTTATCTGTGTCTAATCAATACGTCTGTCTCTATATGACGGATTGCGCACTTGTGTGTGTGTGAGTGTGTTGTGCACATATATACACACATGCGTGCACAGAGATGTCAGTGTGTACTGATGAGAAAGCGAGCGCTCGTCTCCCTCTTTGTCTTCTCCTCTCTCATCCATACTCTTGGATTTGTCCTTCATGTAAGTGTCACTTCACTAATTGACCATAAGTTGTCTTTCCCTACTCATGAATTGTTAATTAATTATGCTCCCCCCTCCCCCACTCTCCTCTTCCTATCTCGCTCATCTCAATCTGTCTCATTATCATAGAATCAATATCCATTTTCTAACATAAATCTGTTCCTGTACTTGGTGTCAGGAGAAAATGTAAACAGATCAGGAATGATGAATTCCTTGTCAATTTTCTCATGCATGCCAATCTATTGTTATGTTATATATGTTTTACAAATACAGCTCACTCGTTTTACTTACGGGGAAAATGCCTTTCAGTCTACTGTTGTTACATCTGTGCAAAGAGAGTAACTCAGGCCACAAAGATGTTTTCTATTTAGCCCAGTACTGGAAGGCCTTGCAGACTAGCCACATTAGTCTGGAACTCCCTGCTGCTTAAAGGATGTAGTGCTTTTCTTCCCTGAAGTGCTACAGCGATGATTACACTCCTGATATGTTCTAGGCTGTCTGGATCAGAAGATTAAATACCAACCCTGACAACAAGGATGTGGCCAAGACACTTCCTGCCCCAGAGATTATGGGTTCTCCTGCTGAAGTGCAGCAGCTACATCCCTGTAGTGCCCTAACAAAAGACTGCACAGAAAGTGAAGCGGATTGTAGACAAAGAGATCCTAAAAATCCACTTATCATGTCATTTTCTAAAACAGATACAGATCTTAAATTCTCTCGTGATAAACACTGACTCTGAAGGAGGCTTCTGCTCTGGCAGGCGTCTCTACGTCCAAATGCTTTCATAGCTGAGACCCAATTAATGAGGTAGTGGAAAATAAGAAGGAGAGCAAACAACAAACTGAGTGAAAACATTTCCCTGCAATGCTCTGGGGGTGACAGAAGGAGCCTGAGGGCCACGGACAATCAGGATGAGTGTGGGGAACCTCGATTTACACCTTCATGCCTGGGTGAAACATATGCTGCTATTTTCCTTTGACCAGAAAACAACAAAAGAAATCCTGTTAGTTCAACAAGGAGCAAATAGAGCTGTTTATTAAAGGAATTGTTCCACATTTTGGGAAATACGCTATTTGTTTTCTTGCGTTAGAGAAGGAAACTGATCTCTGTCCAGTAAGTTTACAAATACAGCCAACAGTCCGTTTAGCATCTTAGCTTAGCATAAAGATGAAACAGAGAATCAGAGAAACAGCTAATTTGGCTCTATCCATTTGTAATAAAATTCATCTTTCAGCACCTCTCACGGTCACAATTTAACACATTATATCTTGTCTGTTTGATTTTTACAAAATTGGCTCTATCCATTTGTTATAAAACAGCTAGGAATACAGTGTGCTTCAGAGCTAAAGTTTTTATTAAGCACGCACACATAAACACATTAAACACTTGTAAGTGTCACTGGAGGTGAATTCACCTCTCTCCATAGGCAGAGAGAGGAAGTGGCCCCTCTGGGAAACCACAAGACTGGTAGAAAGACTGTTGCCACCCACAGATTTTAAAATACATTGTTATAACATATTTCTTATGAATAATGATGCAGTAATGGTTTTCTCAACAGGAGGTCAGCTGAAGTGCTATACTTCCACAGAGACTATAGAGTTTTACATTTTCATCTTTGGTGGTTTACAGCAGGTTACCATTGCAATGAGTTTGAATATGTGTATGTGTGAGAGTGGGCGGATGTGGGGGGGGTAAAATCATGCACACGTGTCTGTGTGTGTGGGCTTTTCTATAAAGAAATGAAATACTGTTTGTTGGTCAATGGTAATTAGTGACTGCATGGCATATGAGCATTCAGTCATAATTAGGGGTCTTAACTGGATGTCAGTGATGCTTTGGTGGGGAATTCAGTAATGGCTTCAGCATTCAGCACACGGGTATTATTGTAGCAGTGTCGTGTCTTTCGTCGAGACTTAAAGCTGGGTAATTTATTTTAAAAGCATTTTTTCGTTATATCTGTGGCTTTTGCAGGAATGTAATAAGCACAACCACGATTGGCTACCCTACCTGCCTGTCTACCTACCTACCTGCACTCTCTGTGCATGAAAATGTGTTTTGGTGGAGTTGCTAAGATA